CTGGTGGTGCAGTGGTTAAGAATCCGCCTGCCAATGCAGGGGACACAGGTTCGTGCCCCGGTCCGGGAAGATCCCACATGCCGTGGAGCGGCTGGGCCTGTGAGCCATGGCCGCTGAGCCTGCGCGTCCGGAGCCTGTGCTCCGCAACGGGAGAGGCCACAACAGTGAGAGGCCCGCGTACCGAAGAAAAAAAAAAAAAGTTGGTTTGTCCAAACCTTTAAATGTACTGAGGGGGATTTTATTTTTATTTATTTTTAAAATAAATTTATTTATTTTTGGCTGAGTTGGGTCTTTGTTGCTGCACGCGGGCTTTCTCTAGTTGCGGCTCTTCGTTGCTGTGCGTAGGCTTCTCATCACGGTGGCTTCTCTTGTTGAGGAGCACTGGCTTTGGGCACACAGGCTTCAGAAGTTGCGGCGCGCAGGCTCAGTAGTTGTGGCTCATGGGCTCTAGAGCGCAGGCTCAGTAGTTGTGACACGTGGGCTTAATTGCGCTGAGGCATGTGGGATCTTCCCAGACCAGGTCTCGAGCCGGTGTCCCCTGCATTGGCAGGCGGATTCTTAACCACTGCACCACCAGAGAAGCCCTGAGGGGGATTTTAAGACAGAATCCCTCAAAAGAACTACCTTCAAAGGTTTTGCCAATGCGCCCGTCTCCAAAACCCGACCCCTGTAGAGCCCTTGGTGGGAAGGGACAGGGTTTCACTGAGGGTAGGCACCGCCTTCTGCAGAGGTCAAGGCCGGACAAGCCCCACTTGGGAGGAATCTGCCTCGCCCACAATAAGTGCACGCCCACACTTCGAGTCAAGTGAGGGAGCTGCCACAACACCAGGTAGCAAAAAGGTTCGGGCGGGAGGCAAGACCCTACCGGGATTCAAAATCCTCCCGGGACGTCCTCCCAAAATCGAAACACCGCGCACACCCACGCGCACTTCAACGCGCACGCGCAGCCATCCCGCGAGGCAACCCACCCTCCTCAGTCTCCGCCCCGCCCCGCGGACCGGAAGAAATTGCCGGCATTTCCGGCGCCGGCGCTTCTGAGGTTTCCTCAGTGATGTCGTGGTTACGAGCTGCTGCTTTGGTCCAGGGTCCTGGAGAGGAGAGGGACGTTTTTGACGAGGAAGCTGACGAGTCGGTCCTGGTGCAGCGGGAATGGCGGAGCCACATGCAGAGACGAGTCAAAGTAAAGCTGCGTGGGGGGGGGGGGGGGGCGTCCCTTGCTGTACCGGGTTGTGAGGAGAGGCGCACGACGTTGTGAAGAGGCGGGGACCCGAGAGGAGAGGGCCGAGTGGTCCGGGCCGGACCCGGCGCTGCCCTCCCTACCCCCTTATTATGCAGTCCTGCCCGCGTCCTGCTAGGGTTTCCCAATGGGTTACTTGAAAGCGCGCGACACCACAGGACGCGTTCCTAGAGCGCCCACGGGGCGCGTTGGACACTGGGGGGGCGGCGAACAAAATAAACTTTGTCTTAGGCTTTGAAGAGATTTGAGTTTGATGAGGACCAGAGGGAAGGGGATGGGGGAGAAACGTATACACTGACTGTGTGTGTCTAGTTATGGCTGTCAGAGGACATGTACGCACTTGACATGGGTTGATTGAAGAGCTCGGGAGCCTAAAGTTAGGAGTGGTGGTAATCAGGACAGCTGGAAAAAGTGCACTTAAGAATGTTGTCGAGGGCTTCCCTGGTGGCGCAGTGGTTGAGAGTCCGCCTGCCGATGCAGGGGACACAGGTTCGTGCCCCGGTCCGGGAAGATCCCACATGCCGTGGAGCGGCTGGGCCCGTGAGCCATGGCCGCTGAGCCTGCGCGTCCGGAGCCTGTGCTCCGCAATGGGAGAGGCCACAGCGGTGAGAGGCCCGGGAACGGGAAAAAAAAAAAAAAAAAATAATGTTGTCGAAGGGCAGTAAGACAAAGCTAACGTGGAATCCTGATGGCTAGGTAAGGGAGTATTCATGTTGGGTTTTGTTTTTTTAATTTGTCGGGTGTCAGTTATCCATCTCGCAGTTGTCTCACTGTTGAGCCTCGGCTTTATACCACACCCCCAGTTTCCAGGTGGAGCCTTCAGCGCCTAGTTCAGGGGGAGGACGGAAGGGTGAGGTCCATTCCAGCTAGTATCCTTGACAACCATTAAGTTGCCACTAAAACTGCGCTTGTTTAATGCTTCAGTAAAATAGTACTTGTTTAGCATAACAACCATGTTGTCAGTGTCAGAAATGCTTTACATAAGGCTGAGGCGAGGCCAGTCAGTACCGAGCATCTTTTGAGTGCTGGGGCCAGACAAAAAAATCCCTGCCCACAGAGGATTTGCATTTTACTTGAATTTAGGTATCAAGCAAAATTTCTCAAACCAGACCTCTCATGGTCCTTTTGCTAAACCAGTTTCCTCTTTTCCTACTTCCGTTCCAAGACCTTACTGCCCTGCGTCACCCACCCACGCCAGTCCAGTTGCTAAGGGGATCAAACACGTAATTCCCCATGTTTCCTCTCTGTGGAGCTACTGCTAACACAGCGTTTTGTAAAACTGTATAGAGTCAGTATTTTAAAATGTGCCCAACGCAGTGGTTGAGAATCCGCCTGTCAACGCAGGGGACACGGGTTCCGTCCCTGGTCCCGGGAAGATCCCACACGCTGCGGAGCAACCAAGCCCGCGAGCCACAACTACTGAAGCCCGCGAGCCTAGAGCCCGTGCTCCGCAACGAGAGAAGCCCGCGCACCGCAACTAGAGAAAGCCCGCGCGCAGCAACGAAGACTCAACGCAGCCAAAAATAAATAAAAATTTTTTTAAAATGTGCCCAATAAGTCTAGACTTCAAAAATGGGATAAACCAATAATAAACTTTTATGAGAAGCGTAGTCTACTTTGGTTGTGTGGTTATGCCATATGTTCTAGAACCGTGTTGTTAAATAACCCAGTAGAGGCCTGTTTCATCAGTCTTCAAAATTGGTTCTATGACTTTCTAGAAAAACCTACAGTGGTTTACTTGGTGTTAGTTACAACTGTAATTCTTCATTACTTTCTTATTTTTAGGAAGGCTATAGAGATGGAATAGAAGCTGGCAAAGCAGTTACTCTTCAACAAGGTTTCAATCAAGGTTATAAGGAAGGTGCAGAAGTCATTATGAACTATGGACAACTCAGAGGAACATTGAGGTAATTTTTAAAGCTTAAATGCTGAATTATTTTAACTTCAGTACTACTGGAGGATTTTTATTAAAGTAGTATGTAAAAATAAAGCGTTTAAAGTGAAGTGCTTTTCCTATTGTTAAGTCCACAAGAGTGCTGCAGAGCATAGAATAAAATCGCCTTCAAAAAGTCAAAAGTTCATCCACTTTAATATGTGAGCCAGGTGTTGTCTTTTACTGCAAAGAAATGATAGGAAGTGTCTATTTTTTGCTACCTGAACTACCACCAATCTGTATCTCAAAGTAATTAAAAAGAACTTCAGGTTTTGAATAAAGCTTTTAGTCTTCCACATGTAGCAGAACACAATAAAATAGACGTCTAGACTAGGAGTACATGATGAAAATTATAGCTGGTAACAGAAAAATGATTCCATTTACTTTAGTCCTAAATTTTGAACACCTGTCAAGATTCCATAGCAATAATGGCATGTATCAGAACCACCTGGAGCACATGGAGCTAGGAGCATGGCAGGCTTGTCCTCTTTGATGCTTTATACCTTTTCAACTGCCCTCTATCGAGAAAAACAAACTGCTTCAAGGAATCATTGATTTTTAAAAGGTATAAAACAAAAGTTGTCAAAACAAAGGAAAAATTCATTACATTGAGGTTTTCTAAAATTCAGCTATCGGGAATCAGCATTTATACTATACTAAAGTAGGAAAATGATCACATGTTTATCGTCACATCAAGTTAATCTTTTATAAGCTTAGAAAGCTTACTGCTAAATCTTACACATTTTTAAAACATCATTACTTTTCATAACAACCATTATTTCATGACGTGAATGATCTGAAATGTCAAAAAATAAAACTGTCTATACTAAAAAATTAAAGAAAAATAATTATTAGGACTAAAAGAAATCTAACCTTCTTCAATAAAATTGTTAGTTAGCTCAGCAAAGTGTCTACTCTGTAACAAAGTTGGAAAGGTGAAGTTGTCTCAAAACTTTTTTTTCCCCCCTAACCTTCGGTTTTGATGGCAAGTAGCTATATGGTTAGAACAGTGGTTTTCAACCTTGGTTGCAGCTTGTTACAGCTGGGAAACTTTAAAAAAATAATACCCCCAGAGATTCTGATTTAATTGGTCTCAGGTGTGACCTGAGTCTTGATAAGTTTAAAAGTTTCCCAGGTGATTCTAATGTGCATCCAAGATTGAGAGTCACTAGTTTAAAAGGTGGTTGATGTCCTTAAAGGAGAAACTAATTTTTCAGATCTTTCTGTTAGTTGTATCCTTCTTCAACAGAAGCTACACAGTCATAAGGGGAAAAAAATCTAAAATCAGGAAGAGTGGATGTAGAGCTGTGAAGGAGGGGTTATGAATTATAAACAGTTTATATGATTAAGTCCAATTGTTTAATTCCTATTGAAAGATACTGTCCTTATATTTTTAATCCTGTTTTACCATCATTACTTTCCTGATTTTGACTTGCATTACTGTTATTAATAATTTTTGCATGGTGTTATCTGGAAAAGAAACATGTAAGCCTTAGCATCAAAAATTCTAAAAGCCTTTGTTTAATTTTTTTTCTATTTAACTCTTGCTTATATTTTTGTTCAGTGCTTTGCTCTCCTGGTGTCACCTTCATGATAATAGTTCGGCTCTGATCAGTAAAATAAATAATCTTCTGGATGCAGTTGGCCAGTGTGAAGAGTATGTGCTCAGACATCTGAAATCAATCACTCCACAGCCCCATGTTGTAGATTTATTGGACTCCATTCAGGATATGGACCTTTGTCATATAGCTCCAGCTGAGGAAAAGATTGATGAAGCTAAAGATGAAAGATTCTATGAAAATAATGCTGAGTTTAACAAAAACTGTAGCAAGAATCTTAGTGGGGTAGATTGTTCATCTTTAAAATATTGTAGAACACAGGAGCGTGCACATTCCGAAAACCCAAGCCTCACTTGGATTTTAGAACAGACAGCCAGTTTGGTAAAACAGCTGGGAGTATCAGTAGACATATTACGGCACCTCAAACAACTATAAAAATTATCTTCACTTTAATATTGAAAATAATATTCAGAACATTCTTAGAATATTTTGTTTCTGAACAAGCTAACCAAAATTTGTACTGATTTCTACATTGAACACTTCACTTGTAAGGTTATCCTTCATGGAAGTTTGAAATGTCTTCAAAATTAACACTATTTAATATAAGCCTACTATCTTTGTCACTGGTAATTTTTATGTGGTTTAAGATATGCTTGGAAATTCTAGTTGTCATCATTTTCAAATTTCTGATCAAAATCAAGCATTTTTGAACTCATTATTAGCAGAAATGAACAAGAATCAGACTACAGTTAACCCTTGAACAACACAGGTGTTAGGGGTACCCACCCACCATGCAGTTAAAAATCCGCATATTACTTATAGCTGGCCCTCCATACCTGCAGTTGCGAGTCTCAGATTCAACCCATCTCAGATCGTACAGTACTGTAGTATTTACTACTGAAAAAATATCCAAGTATAAGTGGACCCTAAGAGTTCAAACTCTTGCGGTTCAAGCATCAAATGTTATTTTGTAAGGTCTTAGCCCTACCTTCTGCTCTTATCACATTGTCTTGTGATTAGGACCTCACCTTGTAATCAGACCCAAGTTACAAAAAATTACCTAATGGCTAAAGTTGTAAATAGACACACAGATATATATAGATATGTAGACATATATATATTGAAATTAAGAGGCTAATAAGTGTAAAGCTGAAAAAAATGTTTATACTGATAGTTAAAACAAAATACTAAAGTTTGTTTTAGTTTATTTATTGAGGTATGATTGATTTATAATGTTTCAGGTATACAGCAGAGTGATTCAGTTATACTTTTTTTTTTCAGATTTTTTTCCATTATAGGTTATTACAAAATATTGAATATAGTTCCCTGTGGTATATAGTAGGTCCTTTTTGTTTATTTTATATATAGTAATGTGTATATGTTAATCCCAAACTTCTAATTTATCCCCACCTCCTTTCCCTTTTGGTAACTGTAAGTTTGTTTTCTATGTCTGTGAGTCTATTTCTGTTTTGTAAATAAGTTCATTTGTATCATTTTTTTAGATTCCACATATAAGTGATATCATACCATATTTGTTAAAGTTTGTTTCAGTTTTGTGTTTATTAAAAGTAAGGACACAGTTCCGTGAAAAATACAGAAAATACATTTCATGCTAAAGTACTTACTTAGCTCATCCAAGTTTTGAGTTAGTAGTGTTACCTGACAGTGTGCCAGATTATTCCTAAACTGCAGTTTTGCATCATATTTATTTAGGAATAAAACATTGAAGCCACTGACTTCTGTATTATCTTGTAGCAATATTCTTAGTCTAGCATAGACAAAATGAGATTCAAACTTATGCTCCAGGACCTAAACATATAAAATCAGGAAAGGATTTTTCATCACTTTTTTGCCTGAAACACAAATTTATGTAACATGCCTGACTTCAGAGGCACCCAAATAATTGCCTCTCATTGATAGCCATAATTTATATCTACCATCTACTGCAAAAGACTGATACCCTGAGAAAATCTTATCTGATAAAAGAGGTGTTTCAAGAGATTAAGAAAATGTGCTGCTGTGATCTTACAACCTCCACAGGGTTCACAGGACATTATGAAATTGAAGCAACAAATTTGAAATCAGAAGACCATAAAGTATGTCAGGATTTACTAAAACATGCTGAAGATATCAAGTGACATTTGACAGATGGTTTTTAAAAAAAGTGATTGTATCTCTCTAGATGTAAACACTATTTCAGAGATTTACTGATTTGTCTTGTTATGTAGATACTTTTTTCCATATTTATGAATGCAGCAAAAATCTCAAATCCACATGGAATATTATAAGCAGTCTCTGAAGTCTTCATGTTGCTCTGCCCTGCATATTAGATATGAAATATACACATCTTTAATAATACATCTCAAGGAAGTCACCCTGAGTAAAAATCTCATGAGTGCAGCAAATCTGGAGATTTTATCTGGGCTCACCCTGACAATTTCCTGAAGGTAACACCCTTTGCCACCATTGAAAATAGGTTGTTTTTGTGTAGATGTTCGTAGAAAAGGAACTCAAGAGAATTAGCTGAGTTGAATGAAGCTGTTGGGTTGAAAACATCTCTTAAGCTTACATTGCCTTTTAAAAAACCACAGAAGTTCCTGGACTGCAGAGGAAAATTAATGGCATGCTCATTATACCTGTGTTTCGTGAACCTCTGTATTAGAACCACAAGAGTGAAGGAAAGAAACCTTGCCTTGTGTCTTTTACCTTGCCTCGTGTGTTCTAGGCCTGCCAAGTGTTGCTATGAAAAGACCCTAGATGAAGATAAATGTAAAGCAAGACTGCCCCGGAGCAGACACAGCAGAGTTTCAAGACCCAGGACCTAGACATTAGGCTTAGATGATGTGGCTTCCTTAAAAACAGAATTTTCACCTTGAGTAAGTTACTTCTAGATACTGACATATGTGGGGATTTTTTATTTGTTGTTGTTTTTTAAGCCCACAATACTATGCTTTTCTGGCATTTCAGTTGCTAGAGGTATTGAGGCCACCAAAATTTTTGTGATACACAAACAAGCAGAAGTGGGCAGCTGAATTCACCTACCTGCATCCTTACCTCATTTATATCCTTAGCACTGTTTATTAACTGCTTTTGTAGTACACCAAAATAAAAGCCTTGAACCAAGTCCAAGATGTGCTTTTCATCTATCTTCAGACTAAAGTTTTGTGTTCCAGTCTAAGACATAGAGAAATAAATATAGAAAGACATTCTTTTTTTTAATTTTTTTATATTCTTTTCCTTTACAGTTTATCACAGCATATTGAATAGAGTTCCCTGGGCTATACGGTAGGGCCTTGTTGTTTATCCATTCTACATATAATAGTTTGCATGTGCTAATCCCAAACTCCCAATCCCTCCCCCTTGGCAACCACAAGTCTGTTCTCTTATGTCTTTGAGACTGTTTCTGTTTCATAGATAAGTTCATTTGTATCATCATATTTTAGATTCCACATGTAAGTGATATCAGATGGTGTTCGTCTTTCTCTTTCTGACTGACTTAGTACGCTAATCTCTAGGTCTATTCATGTTGCTGCAAATGGCATTATTTCATTCTTTTTTATTATGGCTGAGTAGTATTCCATTTTATATATATATATATATATATATATATATATATATACACCACATCTTCTTTATCCATTCATCTGTCAATGGACATGTAGGTTGTTTCCATGTCTTGGCTATTGTAAATAGTGCTGCTGTGAACATAGGGGTGCATGTATCTTTTTGAATTATAGTTTTGTCCAGATACATGCCCAGGAGTGGGATTGTTGGATCATATGGCAACTCTATTTTTAGTTTTTTGAGGAACCTTCATCTGTTTTCCATAGTGGCTGCACTAATTTACATTCCCCCTGTAGGAGGGTTCCCTTTTCTCCACACCCTGTCCAGCATTTGTTATTTGTAGACATTTTAATGATGGCCATTCTGACCAGTGTGAGTTTTGATTTGTATTTTAGAGATTCTTAATTTCAGACCAGTAGGTGAAGTAAATATCATATGCCATCTTAAACTACCAATCAAACTTCTTGCTCTACAGAAATTCTCCAATCTCCCATCATGAAGATACTTCACGCCCCATAGTTGCTTTTCTTGCTTTTGCTCTCATTTACTGCCTTTTCCCAACAAACCTACTGGAAGAAGAGTCCGCAGTCACTGTCTCAAATTGCTTTCTCCCCATTCACTCCTGAACATCAAACTGCTTTTTACTAAGGTCACTGGTGGCCGCTAAATCACACGACTGCCCTGGTTGTATGATTTTCAGTCATACACTTGTCCTCTCACTTGTCTGGTTTTCAGTCCTCTCACCTGTCCTCCATCACTGGACACGAGGAACCATCTACTTTTACAATCCTTCTGCCTGCCTTCTGCAGCAGCACTTTTTCTTGTTCTACTCATTACTACTTACTTCTGCTGGGTAAACGATAAACTTGAGTTTCATTTCCAGGCCCGAGCAGCACTGTCAGTATGATTTCCCATCCTGCCTCCTTCAACACACACACACACACACACACACACACACACATCTTTATGGACACTACTCCAATGCTTTGTGGACAATCCACAACTCCTAAAGTTATTCACTCTGACTCTTCTGTCTCGAATACTTTTATTCCATATCCTTCCTTCCCAGCAAATTCCTATTTATCTATCAACACGAGCTCAAATTTCAACTTTCTCAGGCAGAGGTAGTTGCCCTTCCCATTGTTTCCTCTTCATCACTTTGAGTACCTCAAACTTCAAATTTATTCAGGAAAGTACATTATTCATCATTATATCCCCAGCACTTACCACACCCTGTATATAGATGCATATGTGGTGTTTGATGAGGGAAAAAATAACTATTTACTAGCGAAAATGAAATCCGAAATTTAGGATTCCAAAATACATCATGTTAGGAGCTTCCCTGGTGGCGCAGCGGTTAAGAATCCGCCTGCCAGTGCAGGGGACATGGGTTCGAGCCCTGGTCCGGGAAGATCCCACATGCCGCAGAGCAGCTAAGCCCATGTGCCACAACTACTGAGCCTGTGCTCTTGAGCCCACGTGCTGCAACTACTGAAGCCCAGGCACCTAGAGCACGTGCTCTGCAACAAGAGAAGCCACCACAATGAGAAGCCCATGCACTGCAACGAAGAGTGGCCCCCGCTCACTGCAACTAGAGAAAGCCCACATGCAGCAATGAAGACCCAACACAGCCAAAAATAAAATTTTAAAATTACATCATGTTATATACTTTTATTTTTAGAAGAGAAAACAAACCTTTATGTTTGCCTTTTAAATTTTTTTCCTTTTAATTTTGCATGTTAATAAAAATCCACATATACATATTCTGTCTTCATTGTACTAGGCTAAATAGTAACACTAAGGCAATAGTATTTCCCAGTCATTAAAAATCACACTTATGAATGAATAATACTACAATATAATTTTTAATGGTATAAAATTTTATTTGTACAGTTTTAGCTATTAAAGACAGAAACTACAAAAGAAAAAAATCTAATAACAGTAAGAAGGAGTTGGAGGAAATAGAGGAATGGGAAAGTAACAGCTAACATGGTGTTTACGATATACAGGCACTATTCTGAAAGTTTCACTGGTATTAGTTGCTTA